CTCCGAATCGTGCATTCAGACATTCTTTTGAATGTTTTCCTAGTTGGCAAGCATCTGCTGGAAAAGTATTCTGCAATCAGGCACCTTGCCAAAACAGAGTTGCAATCGCCAGTTAAATGAACATCTGTCATTTCTGGGTGTCTGTGTGGTCTGGCATTATCTTTCCAAATAGAAACTTTCATAAAACTGTATTACGAATGTTAAACACGTACTAGTCTTAATCATAAAGTAGATAAATAATTCACAGAGTTTACAAGCATTTACAAACAGTTAGGAATGCCACGTAAGATGAATATAGTACTGATAATAAACAGCTGATTGGACTCAATGCGTCAGCTCGTTACATAATACTACACAAGCCAATTACTCAACTTAAATCGCTTTAACTGATATCGCAGTTTGTAAAGAGAATTATTGTATTACAAAAGTGTCTGGAACTGAGACGTATGATCAAGTCTGACGAATGTTTATATGAACTTTTGTCACTATTTACAATCTTATGACATATCTTATTCTATATTTACGATTTAATTTAACAATCTAATTTTACAATTTTATTTATAAGTTTGCAATACATTTAGTAAACTATATATAATATATATATATATAAGTTTCGGATTCAGAAATTTATAAAATGCGTAAAAAGGATGAAGGTTATGTTAAACCAGGCGACACGTGTTGTTGCAGTGAGACAATACTGTAATTATAAAACACAAATATATATACAGCTTATCACACAACAAAGAATTATCATCTAATAACACTAATGATTATACCTGAATCAACACACTTGTCGGTATAAGCAATAATTAATACGAATCTTAAGTAAAGTTAGCACGTGTGCGACTATGACAGTACAGTTAATCGGCCATTGCCTCAGTGTCAGTCATGTGACGTCAGCGTTACGCGCGGTTAAGTTTGAAAGTCGTCAAACTTACATATATATAATAAAGTTTATAATACAAAATTATAACATTTAATTTACAAGATCCTGATCTTTAAACCTTTTGCATCTTGTAGAGCTTGTCTCCCAGTTGATCCAGTTATCGAGACATTTAGCGATTGGTCATTTTTTACTCGATTTCATTTTTGGCAAAAAGACCAAAAAATTTTGTACTGCTTCTTACTCCGAGACGGATGGACCAATCGGATTGAAACTTCTTGCACCTGGAGCACCATCGCTGCCACTGGGTACCATAAAAAAAACGTTCGACCTGGTTTTAGTTTTTACTAGTTTATATTACTTTTTATCCAAAAAGATTACTTTTTCGGTTTTTTCCAAGAAAAATGACAAATCCAAGCATGTTTTGATAACGGGACCAACTGGGAGACACGCTCTACAAAACGCAAAAGGTTTCATCCGTAATCGGCGAGCAGACATAAAAATATATATAAAAGAATAACAAAAATATACAAGTCGAATTGAGTAACCTACTCCTTTTTCGAAGTCGGTTAAAAAGAAGTGGACGAACCACCTGCAGCTTGCACAGCCTCTGGAAGGCAATCGCACGTGAGATTTGAGAACACCTGCGTCCAAGAGCCAAGACACCGGGTCGATATTTTCCATACTGCGTCGTCCATCCACTTTTACATCTCCCCCAGAGGAAAAGAAGGGTGTCGGTTTACGTAACGAAAATTGAGGCGAAGGGCAAAGGTGACTTCCCCGTAAAAGGAGTCCCCTATGAAACGAGGGAGAGAGTTTATAGGATAGAGAAATTGTTGCGAGGTGTGCGGCTCAAATGTTAACAGTACCAGTGATGCTATAATTCGATCATATCGATCGACCAGGTTCGATGACGTAACTGAACGATCTGGCTCGATGCGATTTTTTATTCAATTAGGATGCAACAATTGCCCTTTCTCCACGACAAAGCCTGAGAAACGAACGTTTTTGTTGGGGAAAATTGCAGACACATGTAGGTGAATATTTGGTGAATAATATGAAGAATGAAACTTCGAATTAAGTAATGGCAATTACGTTAGCATTGGTATATTGATATTTTATACATATATGAAGGAGAACTGTACAAGAAGAATTGTAGGAGTTACAAGGAAGTCAGAGACAAACAAATCTTGAATTTTTCAAGAAAATAAAAATGCTTTCGTATTAATTTTTGAATGGTAGCAGCATTAATGTGGTCCATGTAAAATGTTTCCGTATTAATTTTTTAAATAACCAGAATATTCTCTAAAAACCTGGGAATCTCGTTTAAAACTATCATAAAGCAATCATGAGGAACAACGTTGGAAAATAAATTGCAAAGTGACGATTAGTAGAAAGCTAGGATTAGTTTAGACGAAATCCGATTCAAAGGCGACGATAAAATCAAGCACGTTTAGAAAATATTTCGAACGCTGAATGAAAAGTCCTCGGATTCGAAGAAGAAAGGGGGAACACAATGGGCATGATGTTCAAAGTGCTTGTTGTTTGTCTGAATAAAAAGGAAGATGCACGGAGCATCGGAGACGATTCAATGCACCGAAAGGCACGAGATATCGAAACTACGTGATCGGAAAACCGAAGTCGCGTTTTTTCGTGCCTCGAAAGCGAAATGTTCCACAGAAGGGAAACGCGCGATGGAAATTTCTAAAGCTTGCTACTTTAACCGGAAGCCGTGGATCTAAGCTGCAACAAAAGAATCGTCCGGCCATGATTTATCTTTTGAAAATCAGAAAATCTCTGGGCATACATGAAACGACTCGTGAAAATATACATATAAAATACGAAACACTGATAACAAGTAGACTGTAGATTTGATGCATTTATGACGTACAATAACATAGAAAACATACATAATATATACAGAAATATGTTCAATATATATATATTCAACAATTATTATAATAATATTATATACAGAATGTATGTTCAATATATTTAACAATGATTATAATAATATTGTTATTTTGTTTTGTTTAAGTGCACACACCTTTTGGTTATGTTTAGCATGTGTTTATCACAATAGTTTATATTATAAATACATACATTTCCAATTTAGTAATAAGTGTGCAAATAGAAAATTTTATTTAATCTTTTATAAACTATAAGAGGAAACTATTCCTTGGACATTTATGTGTGTTCATTAGTTAATAGTGAAAGTAAATAATGTGGAGCTAGCAAATGATCTTACAAAAAAAAGTTCATGAAAGAGGAAATATCACGGAGGAGAGGTTCGATAGAAATTACGGAAACGGAGTGAAGACTTCGTACGTAAGAAATGTTTGAAAATAAAACAAAAAGTTAGACATTTCAAATGATAATAATAATTATAGTTCGTTTATCTGTAATTTATAATTTTCTTTCTCGAGCTTAATATCGATAAAACGATATATGATGTTGATTTTAACCCACTTGAAATTTCTTTTTAACTCTACATTTAGTTCAAATAATAATAATAATAATTTTAGTTCATTTATCTGGAATTTGTAATTTTCCTGGTCCAAGTTTGACGTTGATGAAACGTCACGATATACGAAGTAACATGTAATTAGATTCAGAAAACGGAAATCCGTTGGTGTATCGACGCTGCTCGCGATGGAACAGGAACAATAAATTCCGAAGAAGAGGACTCCTTTATCCTCGCCTCGTGTCCCGAGTCAGATCTAATCTGCAAGTCTAATGCACTTTGGCGCAACGGTGACAGATTCGCCCAAAGTATTTCTTGCGATAAGGATCTACGACGGAACAACCATACCGAAGATCTTCCTCGACACACAAACCTGGGAGACGCCTAACGTTAATTGCGAGCTCGAGGCGCCACTCATGGTCGCGATAAAATAATTACTCCAAGATATTTCGCCAATTAACGCTTTTTACGCCTCCCCTGGCATTCTTCGCGTGTCGCAAATGAAGCCGTCAATGAACCATAATGCCCAGTAATTACTTTGCGATAGTAATTCAAAACAATTCGTGATAATTTATTTCGCGATGATAATTCTGTTGGAATTGTCGATTCTAACTTGGATATTCTTAAATGAAATACGTTGAAATGATTTAACTTGTACCACTAAAAAAGTATTTTCTAACGTTTATCGCCGATTCGTCGTAATTTATTCCGTCATAATATTTCAGAACGATATGCTATAATTATCTTATTTGTTAGTATAGAGGTTACACCGAGTGGATATTTGTTCGAGTTGTAAAAGTACACTCGAATACATGAAATTACATATCATAGATTAATTTTAGTACTGTTTACTTGACTTTATCCATGACATACAATTATATGTATTTAAATGTATATATTAATAATATAATTATTAATACGGACGTTATTTTTACACACTGATTAGTCCTCAGTCCTTCAAATTAATTTTCATTCCTCTGGATATTACTAATTCATTACGCTAATATTAGAGTATAATTTTCATATATATATAAATATACATTTGTTACGGTCGCTAATAATTTTGTGTAATAATTCAAAATAACTTAGAATAATTTATTTAAATGGATGTATACATGCTTTCAATTATCTGAGAAAAAAGATGACTAAGAATTGTTTTGAATTATTATCAGAAAATAATTACTGGGCGTAAAAGTATTACAAGATAAGCTGAATAAATAAATCTTAAATTGTCTATCAACGTTTCAATCGTACTCCGCTTCAAATATGAAACGTTTGCAAAGGTTGCCAGTTTAAAGCAACAAAGAACAAAGCCATAAGTAACTCAATTTCATTTGATAAAACTTATCACGCGAAAAAATTCGAATACATTCAGTTAACTACATTTTTAAGCTAACTGCACATTTATTTCTCTACCGTTATGTAAATGGCCAGTATACAACTATGAACCTTTTACGAATAGAATGAAACGGTTGAGCGAGTTAAAATTCCATTTTGAAAAGGAACACTACCTCCCGATCGAAATCAACGACCTCATTCCGTGAAACGAATTCGCCCGAACAAAGCACAGTCGCGAACAGCATTATCGGAGATCAGAAATTACAGTGAACGAAAATTGCAGGGCTTTAAAAGGAACAAATGAAGTCTACTTACGACGATTCTGTTGGGGGTGACGTCCAAGGGTCGTGCTCCGAGGACAGGGGTGGCTGGTGCGCTACCCCTCCGACAGGCCTTCTCGTAGGACGTATCTGAAACATACGGGAACGTTTGTAATTTAGCACAGGGTAATTGGACGAGTGGGCGTTTCCGGTGCAAGATGGTGGGGGGCAAAGGATAACGTTAACTGTTGCATCTCGTTTCGGAAGCGAATGGTAATTCGGTCGCAGCGAACAGGTAAACTGAAACCGTCGTTATCGTGCATATCTGAGGGCAACCTCTGTTCTGAGACGCAATTTTAAAAAATTGTTTTCAATTTACAAATTAGTCCCGAATGACCTTTTGATATATGGACCGTTTATTTTGAAAGTGGTGTAACTCTATTTTCTCTTGTTTCGAGAAAATTAAAGGTTAACGTATCTGTTAATTAAAAAATTTAGGCAAATTATATGAAGTCTGGCAATGTTTCTACTGTTTTTATCAATATGTAATTTGGTTACATAAATTTGTCTTAGGCGTATTTTACTAAACTGATGTATACTTACGAGATGCATGCAAATGGACTCGCGCCACTTTCAAAATTAGACAATTGTAAAAATCGTTTAATTTCAATTTCGAAAAATCAAATATCACCTGCAAGATAGATAACAATCAAAATTAATTAAACCCGAATTATGTACTCTAATGCTATCGATGCTGTTTTTCTACATTGAAATCTTTATCCGTAGTATTTTCCTATAATCATTTACATAATTTTCTTTTAAACCGAATTCTCCATAAAAAGTTCTATTGTCTTTTAAAAAGTCTGCTTGCTGACTTCCTTGAGTAATAGAACCTCCATCATTGTTTAATATTAATTCTAACGAGTATTTAAGCTTTTAAGTAGTAAATTAAATAGCCTTCGCATTCAATACAAGCATCACGAACACCTACATCAAATTTCATTTGACCGGGACAACAGTAATAGTAATTATAGGGAAACCATAAGCATACAAATTTCAAATATGAATAAGTAGTAATCCTCTGGGCCTGATCCCAAGGAGGCAGGAGAGAATAGAAGAAAGGCCCGCGAGTAACTGGAGACTCTTAGGCAGAGGGGAAGAGTTTAAATCGCTGACCGTAAACAGAGAGGCCGCAGAGAAAGGTCTAGGCCCTGTTTGGGACCTCGCAAGGGCGTTAATTACAGGGCTGCTATTGTTCCACCCCTTCCTCTTCCTTGAGCCGATTTCCGTTGCTGGAAACGTGGATGAAGCGAGGGAGAGCGGGCTCCTTCGAGTTTACGTTGTAATTAATTGTTGTTTTGAAATTAAAATATACTTGAAGGGTAGTAAAAAGTTGTTACACTTTGAGAATGTTATGTAACATTTTTATTGTACCGAGGTTTGGACTTAGGTATCAAAGCCTCCTAGGAATAATAGTATTATATTTTATTTGTGCAAACACGAGTGTTTGATGATATAAAATATGTGAAGCAATGTGTAGGTTACTTTATGCATTTTATATTATTGACTTATATTATTCAATTCATAATACACGTCATATAAATTGTTAGTTGTCTATACTTAAACTGTCGTCGAGTGCAAGGGGTTGATTCACATTAACTTTCTATAACATATGCAAACACACATCTTCAAAACTACAAGATTGAGAAAAATATTACTTTTAATTAATGTCAGCTAGAATTAATTTAGCTCGCAATTAATACCGCTCAAAAATCGGACCGTTAACGCACCTGTGAGAGATTTGGCGCACAAGGAAGTTTGCCCGACAGGATCTCGACTATTAACTCGGTAAAAGAAAAGTCAACGCGTAAATCTGTACCTCGAGATTAAAAAGGACTTCGCATATTTCGAACTCGGTCACAGCGTGGTTCGAGCAATGCTGGAACCACGGTGATTTCAATAACGAGAACGGGCGAGCATTGTGCCTATATCGCAGGGACCATTCGGTGGTCCTTCATAATGACGGAGCGTTACAACGAAAATGCAATGGAAACGTGGACACAATGACTAAGGAGAAGGAGGGTTGAGCAGGTAATGCGACGGTCAGTTTCATTTTATCTCGGTTTATCCACGAACAGAGGAAGCGATTGTTACAACGGGTGCATGTAACTCGATACCTGTTGTTACGTGTAGCTAGCCGCTTAACAATGATTCGTGATTAAAAGTAACGGGCGCCGCGGCAGGTTGTATTCAATCGGAGAACGAATTCGACCGTTATCGCGAGCAATAACAGAAAAAACTGACGACAGATTCGAATTTTGGGTATTGTTCGATGTATTGAAAATTTGGACGAATCGAATAACGAAAACAGAATGTTCTGGTTGCAATAAATATTTATGATGGGCGATATACGAACCAAATTGACCAGAACATGATTTTACAGTCTTTTGTTTAAGTTGATTCTTTACTCTTTTTTTTTTATGCGATCCAAGGTATTACCGCGATGAATCCGTTCGCAAGAATTCATGGTTATTCTTTATTGCTGAAAAGCGGTACAAACGGGTACAAACGATTCTAAAGAATAAGGAAAAAAAAAAGATTTCAAAAATCTCAATGTCGGGTGATGACGATTTTTTGAATTTTTTCTTTTAATTATTAAGCGATGAAGGTACAAACGAAACTATCGGCGGTACAATCAAGTACAAACGATATACTATCATTTTCTATACAAAAAAATTAATTTTTGAAAAGTCGGGTGCCAGGTTCGCACAGCTTACATACAAATGAATGTCCAAAGTATTAAGGAGCTATCGCGAGCAGTATTTAAGTAAATAATTGAGGAAGGAACGTCGTCTTGTAGGGGTTTTGGAGTAGAAGGGCTTCTTGGTAGAAAGGAGTGAAAAGGCACACGGTTCTTGAGCGACTCACCCAGCGCCACGCCCTCGCAGAGCACGGAAACACGTCGCCGTCGGCGTCGTCGCGGATCGCGCATGAATAGCTAATTGACCAGGCAGAAAGGGCACCGGTTCGCGGTTACGGTCGTGGACCCTTTTCCCTAGCGATGGATGCACGGGATCCGTGGCTCTGCAGCTGCAGACGGCTCCCGTGCAGCGAGAAAACGCATCTTTTGTGCCTGACTCGAGTGAACGGAGGCGGTGCACAAAGAGACCTCTCGCTCGGACTGCTGGCCGACCAAATGAATTGTAATTGAAACGAAACCCAGCCAGCACCTATTTCTCCCTTCGTCATTTAACCCTTTTCTAGTCGTTTAGTCAACGATGGAATCACGTGATACGCAAGTCGCGAGTTATTAACGACTCAACGGCGTATCGAGTACTCGACGTTGAATTAATACAGAAATGTCTGTAGAAAGGGAATTACTGGTTGAAGTTTCCAGAGTGTTATTGGTATCCAATATGATTAGTCTCCATAGTCCCCGGATTCAAGGTTCGATACTTAATACGAATTATTCGTATCTGCAGTACTTAAAATCGCAGAAAGTGTACGTTTTTTTTTTCTTTTTTTCATTAACTTAAATTAACTCGGTTAACTTTGTAAGTTCGTACGTGTTAAAAGTTAGCTTTCTAAATTGCATTCACTGAATAACAGGAGAGGTAATGAAAATTTACCCACGTAAATTTCACGGGAATTTCGTCCCCACGTCACGAATCCAAGTCCTTTGATTCGCAAAGATGGAACTTAAATTTAAAGTATCTTGTTTCTCGTGTCCAAATTCTCGTGTAACCACTTCCAATTTAAAATTCTTATCAGCGACTCCGTCACCATTTCGATTTCATCTTCAAACTGTACATAGTCGACCAATGTATCTCTACAATCCATAATTATCAAAATACACACTTCTTAGATACCTGTTGATAGTATCAACTGGACACACCAAACGGTCAACCAATCCAAACTCGAACGCATAAAATCGATAATTCTTCACGAACTAATTGTTCGGGTCAAGTTTTATCAGAAGTCTATACCAAGAGTTCAATTGCGGGTAATTCCATCCATCGCATCGATACGATTCTCTATGGTGACCGTGGACCGAAGAAAGAAAGACTGGAGTGGAATCGCAGTCCATTCAACGGTCAACAATGCGCGATTGTGCCGCTGCAAGGTCGACTTCTCGCATTCCGTTGCATGACGTAATGGCCACGATAGACGTTACCGTTGTCGATTGGATTTTTGGTGGGAGAAACAGACCGCTCGTTAAAACATTCATAGACGAGCCGATTCAAACGTCACGCGAGACCACCCAACGAGGGACCCCGGAACTAACGTACTCTGGAAATCTGTAAACCGTCGCGAAACCGTACAATAAAAAAACGGGTAAAAAAAATGACAAATCGCAAAATGTCTTGATAACGAGACCAACCGGAAGACATGCTCTACAAGATGAAAACTGTTTCATCCCGATTAAACTAAAAAATAAAAAATAAATGAAATAAAAAATTTACACGTCGAATTGAGTAACCTTCTCCTTTTTCGAAGTCGGTTAAAAAAAAAATAGCCTTGCTTCGAGAGTATGTCCCGATTGAATGAAACACGATGTCAAAGAGCTACAAAAGTAGATTCCTCGGTAGATTCCTTTCCTTTAAACTTAAGAAGTACTTCCAAGATGTTGAGCTAACGAAACTTTGAGTTTTCTCGGTATAAGTATCGTAGTATCTGATTAATGAACAATTAATAAAGCTTGACCGAAATGGCGGATGATACTAAAGAATTCTAATGTGTATTTCTCAGTAGCAAAACTAAATTTTCAATGAAAAAAGGAGTCGAAACGTAGGAAATTTTTGTGTTTCGACATATATCGTTGAAGGCCTACCCGAGACCAGTTTTAAAAGTCATCGAAGACAATTTACAGAATATGTAGATAAAAGAATCCTGAACTTCCTAATCGTAAATTAACGCCAGGTTACTAAAGAATCACCAACAGTTTAAATGGCAGACGATGTAAAAGAATTCCAAAGGTTTCAAGAACCCCAAAGGATTCCTCGTGATCCGAAGTAATATATTTGACGAAATACGAAATTTAAACTTTGAAAACGTTCGTGTTTTAACCTAGAAGTCTACTCCAAAGTAATCTTAAAAATTGAGGAAAGGGTATTGACACGATATTTGAACAGAAGAAGCTTAAACTTCTT